TCAGGAGCTGGGAGTGGAGCAGGTCAGGATATCCTTCATTCCAACTTTCAGTGACTTGCAGTGTACATGGGTCTGGAGGAATGACCCTGGTTAAGGTAGAGAGTCCAAGTCTGTATCCCTTACCCCGACCTTCTCTCAGAGTGCCCACGTTCCCTAAAGACAGTCTTAGATTCTTGCCTGTCATTTATCAACTCTTCCACCTTCCATCCTCCTAGACTACTCTTGGACCTCTACTCAGGGGATCTGGGCCAATAGGAACATGGATGTGATTGGAGGGAGGGGTGTGGAGACTGTGAGCAATCTATTCTGCATTAAGTCTATAGGTTTAAAGGGCTTCCCACCTAGCACCCTAAAATCTATTTGCACTTTGTGGACAGAAACACACACTCCTAGGGACATGCCTTCTGCACATATACAGCAATCATTAGCCAATTTCTCAGGGCAATACTGATCTCAATATTATTGTTGTTGATTGCCTTCTAGCCAAGCAAAACTCATAAAAGCCCTAGGGACAAAAGGCCTGAAGACTTTCTATAACTATCATCACTTATCAAAGTTCATAGAGTTTCCCGTGGTACGTTGTTTAGGAAGTGGATGCCACTCCTGCTTCCAATATTACATCCTCTCATTCCTGAGAGAATACTCATTCTGTGTCCTGATTCTTGGTTCCAAATCTTGGTGCACTTTTTTAAAATTATTTTTTTGTAATATTCATACTCTTCCTGTGGTTTGTTGTTTTCATGTTTCATTGTTTGTATCTTTCTTTTTTTTAAAAAAATTTATTTTTTTTTGTGCATGTACCATCAAATCAGTTCTGACTGGTACAAGAGGAGATTATCCCTCCTTCTCCAGCAGAGCGTCTGGTGGATTAGAATGGCACACCTCTGGGATTGCAGTGCAGCTTCTTGCCACTAGGCCACCAGAGCTCCCTTGACTCTTTTTTTAAAGTGAAATTTTAATGAAAGAAATTAGATTTCCATTCATTCATTGTTGCACATTTTCCTCCCTGCCCACCCCTCCACCCAGTTTGCTTTTCTTTTTGGAAAAAAAATTCTTTCCTTATTATACAATTCCCTCACCCCTGTTCTGTCTACTTTACTATGTAGTTCTTGTCATGCAAATAATACCTAATCATATATCCCTTTTAAATAGTTTTCTCCCTCATCTGTTTCAATGCAGTGTACATTATTTATCCCCCCCTTTTTTAAAAATTTTCCCCCAAACCTGATGTCAGATGTCAGTTCTGTTTTATAACAGTGGCACTATGCAGTATTTGTCCTTTTGTGACTGAGATATTTCACTCAGCATAATGTCCTCCAGGGTAACCCATTTTGTATAATATTTCATGAGTTCCTTATTTTTCAATGCTGCATAATATTCTATTGTGTGAATATACCACAACATCTGCTTGGTTGGCAGTTCTGGTTTCTTTAGGGTATATTTCCAGTAGTGGAATTGCTGGGTCAAATGGTCTTTCTATTTCCAACTTTTTGAGAAAGCATCATACTGCCTTCCATAGTGGTTGCACCATTTTACACTCCTACCAACAGTGAATAAGGGTTCTAGTTTCTTCACAACCTCACCAGCATTTGTTGTTTGCCGTTCTGTTGGATTTTGCTATTCTTACTGGGGTGAGATGATATCTCATAGTTGTTTTGATTTGCCTCTCTCTAAGAGCTAGGGATTTTGAACATTTCTTCATGTTTTTGTCATCTGAATGTCTTCTTCAGTGAAGTGTCTGTTCATATCCTGTGTCCATTTTGAAATTGGGTTGTTTACCTTTATCTTGGGGTGCTTGTGCACTTTTATGTTCTTCTGTCAGAGACATAGGATTGGCCACAGTGTGTATCCTCAAAGAAGGCAAGAGTTCCAAAGGAGACTCTAGTCAGTGTGCCTGAGCTCAGATACACCCCAACACGGACTCTTGCTCTCCACTGCTAGTGCACTCCTACTCATCTCTGACACCCCAAGTACCCACAATGGGGGTGTCTTCTGTTGGGGTTCCTCTGGGACTTTTGACTCAGTGGCAGTTGTGAGGATCCTCCCATCCTCCAAGGTAAAGCCCAGAGCCAGCCTGAGCCAGTTTTGGTTCCTCTTCTTTACACCTCCTTGATGAAATCAGGTGGTGCATGTGAACAGCCAGCCAGTGAACAGGCAGCCTGATGCTCTGGACACACTGGTTTCTGGGTATCTTCACTGGAGAGAGAGGTCAAGGGGAGTTAGCGTTTCCTGAGCTCTGGAGCAGCCAGCCAGAATTTTACCTTCACCTAGCAGGTCCCCTCATGACTTCTATGCAGGATGAGGTAAACCATAGATTATGACCGGCTTCTCCAGGTGCCCTAGTCACCTCTCATCCTCTCACTTCAAGATGGGCTTCCTTGGGTCTGCTTAAATCTGCCTTCCTAGCTGGACGGGTTCCTGTAACACCCACCCCAGGCTCTAGGGCTCTTTCTTGTGCCTAGTACAAATATTCTGGGTTTAGAGCCTTCATTCATGGGCTTTAGCAGCCTACCTTAGAAAATGGAAGTTTCTAGAAATTTAGCTTCTAAGAGAAGGAAGGGATGTACTAGATGAACAACACTAACCTAGAGTTCTCAGTTCTTAACCCAACAGTATAGAGCACGGAGCTCTCGGAAAATGAACAAGTGCTTGTTTTGGACAAAGACAGAACAGGGAGCAGAGGGAATGGAAGAAGCCAGGACAGGACGACTCCAGAGAGAAATGGTGAACTCAAGTCTTTAGGGTATCGCAAGCCAATAAACACTGAGGAGTTACTGTTTTGTGAGGCTCTTTAGAAGCCAGACCACCCTGGGATCTCTGTGCTGACAGATCCTTGGAGGAAGCCTGACTATTCAAGTCTTGCTGTGAGTTGGGTGGGATGGAGAGAAGGGCTCTGTGCTTCACAGGGCCAACAACCCTGGAGAGAGGGAATGTAGGCAATACTAAAGTGAAGGGGGGAGGAAGCACTAGAAGCTGGTTGAGGAGTTCCAGGGTGCAGACGGCTCCAGGAGTCTTTGGTTTCACACCTGGTTGAACTGTCCTGGCATGCTTGGATATGTGGCTAAGGACCAACCGTTTGAGGTGTGACGTGGAGCATGTCCCCAGGCCTTTTCTCTGCTGGTAGATCTTCTTTGTGATATGAGCCATGCCCTGCTTACTGTCCCCTTGCCCCCTGCCACCACCGGTCCCTAGTAGGTCACAAAGTGGAGTGAGATGTGCAGTTAGGGGAAATCCTTGAGGTTTCTCAGAAGCCAGGAACAGCTTGCCTGTGTCTTGAGCTGGTTACTGCGATATCCAACTGGGTCAGGGCTCGTGGTCAGCTTGAAGCTTTGGGCACAGGAAGACAACTAGTTACTTAATCAGGTGAGGCCAGGGACCAAGACTTGGGGGTCAGCTTGGGAGTATGCTGCTTTGTTGGGCAATGAGGTTTCAGTCTGATTTGGGGTATTGCCCAGACTCTGTAATTAGACTCCTAGTTGGCTTCACAGGTGTGGGGCATATGCAGTCATGCAGGCCCTTAACCTTAGAAAGGTCCCATGGGGTTTAGTTCTGTCCTACTGCTGTCTTGAAATTATTATTATTTTTTTTAATTCTTACTAATTCTTGAACAAGGGTCCCTGAGATTTTGGTTTGCACTGGATCCCTCAAATGATACAGCCAGTCCTGCTTGTACTCATGGTTCTGGCTCTTCTTTAATTGAAGGTTGGATTTGAGAGGCCACATTTTCTTCTCACCTCCTTCTCTTGTTCTATTTATACTTTCAAGTCTTAGGACATGAAAGAAGCTCTCATGGTGTAGTCTGTAGCATGTCACTCTGCCAACCAAATCTTGGGACATGAGCAAATGAGCAGCAGGCTTTCTGAGGCTAGTCTGGGAACACAATTGATTGAATTACACTATCAGAGTCTAGTGAAGGAGTTGGAGGAATCAGAGAACAACTAAGAGTGAATTTAGGGTCAGGAAAGCATGTAGATAGAGAAGAGAGGCAGTAAGTAGGTCCTTCATGACCTAGACCAGAATACAATTCAGAGACATCTTTCCCCCAGAAATACTCTTGGCCGTGGAGGAAAGGGACAAAGAATATAAAGAGGTTTCCAAGAGACCCTTATGATTGGTCTTCCATTTCCCACCCCCAAGTCCCGCTCAGCTCTGGTTTAACTGCACCCTGCATAAGTGATTTAGAAGTAAAATTACAACCAAACCAAGCCAGATGTATGCTTCCCTGGATGAACTTGGGTGGGGAGTAGAGAGTGGAGCTGGGAACAAGAAGATGTCATCCCCAGAGGGCTCAACCCTGAAAGGGGACCACAAAATGCTCTAGGACATTTTTAGGATTAATACAGGGTCAGAGGGCCTCTCTCACCAGCTTGGTACCCCCTCCTGACTCCAGCTCCCTGGAATCTTCCTCTCTTGACTGGCCCTCTGATCTCACAGCTGCTCCATTCAGTACACAATCCTTATCTTGTCGCATCTACTGAATTCTAGTTTTCACTTCTTGGCTAGAAGGCTGTGAGCTATCTGAAGGCAAGCCCTCAAATTCTGCATCCAACACAAAGTGGGGTGCCCTGACGGTGTAACCATAGAGGAAGAGATATGTAAGTGTCAATTGTTCTATTACAAATGCCAGCTTTCTGACATTAAGAAAACCTCCCTATCTAGTCCTTTATTCCAACCCCAGGCGATAAGAAGGGACTCTCCTACTGAACAGAGGGGTAAAGTGACTTATTTCAGGTCACACAGCAAGTTAGTGCAGGAACAGAACTCTTATCTTTCGACCCCTCCTAAAGGGTGTCTACGATGGGCATCTGCTCTTCCTACCAGTGTGCTCCATGGGATGGTAAACAAGGTCCCAAGAGGCAGGACCAGTGGGCCTATCTACACTCTACCAGTTCACAGGAGGTAGGACTCCAAGGCTGTCCCCTCTTTCTTGGGCCCCAGGATAGGATATTTAGAATTTCAAGCAGGGGTTGGGTGACCAGGATTTGTCTGTCCCTACTCACCACTTCTTCCAGGTTTATGAGGTCCATGTCCAGGGTCAGCGGGTAGTTCATGGTTGTGGCTGCGTGTCACCAGACCAGTCACTGTCTGATGCTGAGAGGCTCTCCTCCGCCTGGTGCCAATAGTGAGGTGGTAGCCGCCAGCTGCACAGTTAAACAAATGGGGTGGTGTAGGGCCACTGCCTACCTCACAACTCATCACTTTTTTTTTTCCACTGGGTCTTTTCTTTCTTTTTTTTTGTTTAAGAAAAAGGGAAAATCCCCACAGCATGAGTGCTAGTCAAGCATTCAGCGTCTTTCCTGGCAATAGCTGTCTCGGTTGGGGTTTGAGACTGATTGAAAGGCTGCCCCTCGTTTCTTCTGCCCCTCATCAGCTGCCCAAAAAAGGACTCACACCTTGTAACAGAAAGCCACCAGATAGGTCAACAGGGTCATGGGGAAACTCCAGCTGGAGAGGAGACAGGGGAAGAGCCCTTACAGGGACCTTGCACCCAAGCCATCTCCAGACTTAAAAAAACCTCTTTTGCCACCAGGGTGACCAAGAATCTTAGTTTGCCCTCAAATGACAGGTTTTCATATAGAAAATCCTTCATCCTGGGGAAACCCCTCAGTCCCAGGCAAACCAATATAGTTGAGTGCCCTGCTTGCCCATCAACAGACAAAGTGCCTTTCCTTTCAAGTTCAAGTTCTGAAGAGACAGTCTGGATTTTTACAAAGGAAATGACACTAAAACTTTACTGGAAGACAGAGATGACACTACTCAAGGAAAACATAAGACATAAACATAGTCACAGATTCATTTTATAACTCAAAAGCAGTGATGCCCTAGGTATAGATTAACTTGGCTGGCACAGAGGTTAACAACCCCAGGGACTGCCCAGCTAGAAGGGACTTCTGAGATCATCAAGCCTAACCCCTGATTTTTATGCAGGAGAACTCTGAGCCCAGAGAAGCAGAGTAACTTACCCGAGATCCCACGGTGAATCAGCTGTAGAGCTAGGTCTTGAACTCCAGTTTCCTGACTCATACTCAGTGTTTTCTCAACAGTCTACTACTCTTATAAACTCACATGTCCTCTTTCTTTTCCTTTAACTCCGTCCTATTTGAGGATTTCTTCCTTTAAGAAGCTCCTTTTTAGACATTAATAATTTTTCTCCTTCAGGTTTCTTTGTACTTTTTCTTCCAGACCCTGTCTGGAACCTGGATGGCCAGTGGTAGCCAGGATCATGAAACAGAGATCATTTCCTCTCTTGGTACGCAATGATGTAAACCCAATACAGAGACACCCACACAAGACATTGTTGCTTCCTTGTGCCACCCCTGCCCCTGTTATCACACTCCCTTTCAAGGCAAATGATGCCTTTCTCTAGTATCCTACCCTTTATAACTGTCTTCTAGGGTACTATACCATCCTCACCATCTCTGACACACTACAGCCCATTGCTGACATCACAGTGTCAATCCATCTCCATGGGGGGGGGGGTGTCTTCCTTTCCTTCAATGATCTTCCATCTTTCCAAGCATAATGTCCCTTGCCTAGCTACATACCCAACGTATGAAAGATGAAGCTTTGCTGCTGTCTTTGCCTCCAAGAAACACTCTGGCTGCGTTTTCCCCAAGTCCTATCTGTGTGGTCTTTTGGTAGTCCATGGTAGTGAGTACTCTTCTCCAGCATCACAACTCAAAAGCAGGATGGTTTGATTATTAGAAACTTCATGCCAAGTCAAAATATGCTTCATGTGAAACCCATCCCCAGAGAATCTATCTCTGTCCAAACATCCAGACTTCTCCAATAAGTACCTTCTGAAGGGAGGTAGGTATTCCATCATTACATGTCTTCTCTTCCTCAACGTCATCAAACCAATCTTTGTTCCTAGGTTCTTTGTCAACAAGTTTATTGATCTCTGGGTGATTTCTGATGAATGATCTAGGTATTATCTGACTAGGACAAAATATTGGAAAATATTTATTTCCTTGTTTAAGTCATCATACTTGCATGATTTCAATTAAAATGGTTTTCTCTGTGGACTTGCACTGTCCTTGAAAGCATTTTGCATTTTGATGGTTAGAACCATTTGATGATTATTTCAGTGTATTAATGGAAATGTTTAAAATCTGAGTCCATAAAACAACTATAAAATACCATCTCACCCCCAGCATCAATAGCAAAGTTCAACAGGACAGCAAACATCAAATGCTGGCTAGGTTGTGGAGAGATTGGAAGCCTTATTCACTCCTGGTGGGAATGTAAAATGGTACAGCCACTACAGAAGGCAATCTGGCACTTTCTTAAAAAGTTGGAAACAGACATACCATTTGATCCACTACTGGAAGCTTACCCTGAAGAAATCAGAGCTACAACTCAAACAGATGTATGCACATCCATGTTTATTGCTGCACTATTCACAATAGCAAAGAGATGGAAGCAGCCCAGTGCCCATCAACAAACAAAAATTATGGTACATTCATACAATGGAAAATTATGCACCATTGTGCATACCCATGTTTAATGTGGTTTTGTTCACAATAGAAAGGAGTTGGAAACAACCTAAGTGTCCATCAACAAACAATGGACAGAGAAGCTGTGGTATATTTACACAATGGAATACTACAGCTGCATTGAAAAACAAGGAACTCATGCAATATTATTCAAAATGGGTGACCCTGGATGACATTATGCTGAGTGAAGTATCTCAGTCACAAAAGGACAGATACTGCATGGTGCCACTGTTGTAAACAGGACTGACATCGGGGTTGGGGAAAGACTGAGAAAGATGGGATAAATAATGTACATTGCATTGAAACAGATGAGGAAGAAAACAGTTTAACAAGTATATGTGATAAGGTATTTTTGTCATGACAGGTGTCTAGAGCGAAGGCTACATGGTGGAGTGGACCTTGGGGAGGGTTTGTGAAACAATGAAAGAATTTTTGTTTTACTTTTCCAAGAGGGTAGTGTACTAGGGGGGAGAGTTGGGAGGGTGAGAAAGTGCAACAATGAATGAATGGAAATCCAAAGTCTCTGTAAATTTTTACTGAAATTAATAATAAAAAAAGAAGAAGAAAATATGCACCATTGAAAAACAATGAACTCGTAAAGCATTATACAACATGTGTGACCCTGGAAGACTAGATGCTGAGTGAAGTATCTCAGTCACAAAAGGACAAATATTCCATAACACCACTGTATAAAATAGGACAGACACGGTGAGGAGTTGGGGAGAGAATGGGAAAAGAGTAGATAGATAATGAACACTGCATTAGAACAGATGAAGAGGAGAAGTATCTGACAGGAATTTGCGATTAGGCATTGTATATATGACAACAACCTGCAACAAGGGATGCATTGAGGCTGGGAGAGGGGAAGGAAGAAAATGTGCAACAGTGGAAAAAAATAGATAAAAAAATATTTTAGTTTAGTCATCCAGTGATTTCACAAAATCTTAGATAAACATGTCATCTTTTAGTTTATTAAAGTCCTAATATTTGGGAATATTGACAGTCCAAGGCTAAAATAGAACCTTGTGTCATGCCATGAGAGACCTACTATTCTTGTTTGAGTTACTGAATGCTCTAATAGAAAGATCACAAGTAGATTAATAAACAGAAGTTTATTCTCTCACAGTTTGCTGTTGTTGTGAAGTTCCATTGAGTCAACTACAACTCCCAGCAACCCTATGAACAACAGATTGGAACCTTGCCCTTTCCTGCACCATCCTCACAATCTGCACCGTGCTCAAACCTGTTGTAGTCACTGTATCAATCCAGCTCGTTGAGAGTCCTCTTCTCTTTTGCTGATTCATGCCCTTCTCAACATGTCTTTAACCAAGGGCTAGCCCCTCCTGACAACATGCCCAAAGTAAATGAGATGAAGTTTCACCATCCTTGCCTCTAAGGAGTATCCTGATTGCCCTTCCTCTAAGACAGATTTGTTTGGTAGTCTATGGAATATTCAATACTCTTTGACAACATCACAACTCAAATGTGTCACTGTTTCCTCCCCTTTGGAAGGAATAAGGAGAGCGAAGAATTGATACTCTCACAGATTAATGTACTAGAAATCTGAATTAAGGCTGTCGACTCCAGGGGAATGCTTTCTCTAATTCTGTTGGCTCTTGGAGAAGGTTTCCTTTCAACAACTGTGGTCTCAGAGTTCCTTGGAGACTCTATGTGTCTTGGCGTCTATCTTCCACTGAGTGTAGAAGGGTCTTAAGTGCAGGGTCACCAGATCCGAAGGACACACTTCACTTTCAGCTTTTTTTCCCCCCTTGGTGTAGTCAGGTCCCTCCTCTCTCTCTTTTCTCCTTTTATTTCTTGTAAGAGAAAAGCAAGGGTGTGAGTAAAAGAGGTGACTGGAATAAGGGTGTGATTTATGTCATACCTTCTTATAAAGTTGTGATTCAAGATACAAGCTCTACCAGTCCTGACTCATTAATATATAAACTCACTGAATCTCACTGTAGTCATATTGATTCTCTCAGTGACTCTATATTGTATTCCTGAGGCTTTAAAATGTAGGCAAAGAAGACTGCTGTTCTTTCTACTTGGTGGAGCTGCTGGTGGATTTGAACTGCTGGAGACATTTGGACTTTGGGTGACAGAACAATTCACTGTAGACTATATGCCCCCAGAGCTTCAAATTAACATTTGGAGGTTAGGATTTATAACACATTCAAAACCATACGATACTGGGGATTATGGACTAGTGACACCTATTTTGAGGGGGACAAAATTAAATTCAAGACATTTCAAAGGTTAGGGAAGACTTTATGGAAGAAGTAAGATATGAGCTGGGCATTGAAAGTTTGAGTTTGGATAGAGAAAGATATATGGTGTGTAAAAAGAGAAAGGGCCACACAACAATGGCCATATCAGATCTTTACCATCTTCACAAAGGGGAACTGTCCCCATCAATAGTATCAATAACACTAAATCAATGCCCCTGAAGTAAAACATTTCCCCACACTCTAGTACCTCTTTCTGTTAATCTCAGCACCAATCTTACTGCTTTACTGAGTGTGTACAAAATCCCACGCGATAGCTCACAGTCAACA